TTTTTCCTCTGGCACATCTCCATGGAGGCTGAGGCCAGGATGGTCCTCAACGCAGCCCTGGAAACACTCCCTGCCCTGTTCTTTCCACCTGCAGGCCCTCCATCAGTGTGGAGGCCATTGGAGGTACTGCAGACATCACGCAGTGAGATGGGAAAGGCTGGCCTCCCTGTCCGTGCTGCTCTCTACAAAACTGTGGACTAGGAGGAAGTTGACTTTGGTGCTCCTTCACTATGCTGCATGGCCAGACCAGCTCTAGGGCCCTGATGGGGAGACTGAGGTAGCCTGGGGGTGAGGGGCAGGAGGGGGCTCCAAGGATGTAAGCCAGAAGGTCTGGGTTTCTGTGTTGGCACTCCCATTTTCTGACTCTGTGATCTCAGGCAAATCACTTCACCTCCACGAGGGAATAATAGTCCTGCCTAATTCATAAGCTGTTTTTGAAAATCATATGAGAGATTAGTGAACACACTTGGTTAGTTGTGAGGGGACACTTGCATGTGAGGTGTTGTTAGCATCTCGCCAAAGGCATTAAAACCTGTCTCAGTGATCTTGGGAGCTTGAGGGGAGTTTATGGCCATTCAGCCTGGTGTGTGTCATCAAGAACCAGGAATGGGACAGCCACATCTGAAATCTTCAGTTCAGCAAGCAGTATGGAAATCTTGTCAAGAGAGAGACCTACGTCCTTGAACCAAGTTGGCCATTTCCAAATATCCAGAAAGCTATTTGGGAAGAATAAAATTATTCTATGAAGGTCTGGGTCATAGCCAGGTGCTAAAAGAATTAAGTTGGAGGTGGTAGACTTCATCTCAGTCTTTGGACAATAAAGGAAATGCCCTCTTAGGAAGTACTGAGCTCCTTGTCATTGGAGGGGTTCAAGCTCCAGGTAGTAGGCCTCCCATCCAGGAGGCTGGGAGTCAGGCATGCTGATGGCTGAGTCCCTTTTCCTTTTTTGAGGTTGTGGGGGTCCTGGAAGCCTCTCATAGCCCCAGTCCCTGGCTATGAGGCGCTCACTCTGTGCCTCTGAAGCTGCCATCACAAACCCCCCTCCTTAGTGCCTGTGCATGGTAGAAAGGCCTTATCTGCTGGGGGTTGTCTGTTTCATCTCTACCAGAGCACCAGAGCCCGTCAGCCCTCTTTGTTCCTTCTCTTTGGGCAGAAATCTTCACTGCACTTCTCAGGCTCTGTGCTCACATAACTCTCAAACCCTTTGAGGGCAGCTCTAGAAACCATCTGTGCCCAAGTCTGGATATTCCTAGAGCATGCCCTCAGGAAAGCTCCTGATGAGGCAGTGTTAGCTCAGCTAAGGCAGATTAGTGGAGGAGAGGTGCTGATGGGCTCTTCCAGGATGTTCACTCTAGGGAGGGGCACTCAGAGTCCACAGGGGGAAGGGAAGGAGGAGCTGGCCTGTGTGGCAGTACTCTGTGGTTGTTACTGTGCATAGGTTTAGAGAATTTTCTCACTCGTACATAATTGAGGCTTTTTCCCCCCTCTTTATTTTAGATCTGGTGCCATCTGCCCTGCTTTTCATACATCACTAGCTCTGGGCTGGAGGTTATGTCTGGCGTGGCCACCTGGCTCTATCCCTCACTTGGTAAAATTATCTGTAAAATGACAGAATAACCCTACCCTGCCTACCTGCCAGGGCTGCTGTGAGAATCGGGAGAGGAGGTGGTGAACTGCCTGGGTAGCATGCCCAGCACTGCACACACGTGTCTGGCTGTCATCTGGCCGCCCAAGCCAGGGGAGCCTCTGCTCGCTCACGTTGCCACCTGCACCACGAGAAGTTTGCACAGATTGACAGAGCCAGGCCCTGTTTGAAATACAAGAAGTGAACAGACCTCACAAGTGGGGAGTCTGCCAAAGTCTGCCATGGGTAGCAGGGGTGTGGCCCCAGCAGCTTGTGACAGGAAGGCCAGACCAGGCTGTCACCTGCTCATGCAGCCTCTTGGCCCCAGGTGGAATGTTAAGTACAGCATGTGCTCAGTAACAAGCACCTTCAGGAGCATCTTGCAGGAAATCCTGGCCCAGACCCCAGCCATCAAGGGAGGGGTTCATGGTGGCTGGAGGCACCAGACCATGATCCTCCCAGACAGAGGTGCTGGGTGAGGTCCTGGACTCCAGCTAAGGTCCACAGCTCCAGGCTTTGTCTGCAGAGCTTTCCCTCCTCTAGCTGAAGGCACCAACTGAGACTCAAGGTCACATGGCAGTGGGTGGCAGACTGAGACCAACAGGGGCTGCTAGACCTTCTCCCTGCCTCACAGGCCCTGGGGAGGATCAAAAAAGATAATGAATGCTTCCTTCCTTGCTGTATTAGTCAGCCTGGGCTGTCGTTACAAAATACCAGGAGCTAGGTGGCTTAAACAACAGAAATTAATTTTCACACAGTCCTGAAGGCCTAGAAGTCTGAGATGCATGTGGGGAGAGAGATCTCTTTCTCTTGTTATAAAGCCACCAATCCTGTTGGATTAGGACCCCACCATTATGACTTCATTTGACCTTAATTACCTCCTAGAAGCCCTGTCTCCAAATATAGCCACAGGGGGTTAGGGCTTCAACATATGAATCTTAAGGAGGACAAAATCAAGTGCACAACACTGGTGCAGGGCCTGGGGTGGGGTAGCCACTGACTACAGATGCCCCTGCTGACTAGTACCTCCTACTTGGAAGACGGGGGTGTTCTTCCAGAGGCCCAAGCATGGAGCTGCAGTCCTGAGGAGACAGGAGAAGCATCCTCAGGACTCTCTGATGGAGAGAATCTTTCCAAGGTGAGGATGCTGGAGACACTGCTCCCATCCAAGGCAGGGTCTGTGGGCACCATTTATTCCCAGCAGTACTGGACAGTGACAGCCTGTGACAGCTTCTGGAAGTCTTCCTCCCTATCCCCACCCCAACGAGAAGGGGCAGCTCTCTGCTGGCAGACAAGCAGTGACAGTCCAGGTGCCAGTGATCCCAACTGGCATAGCTTCCAGGGCTGCTGTGAGCCACAGCGTAATGGGATGGTGAATAGTACCACTCAGAAGACTTCAGTTCTGGCCCTGGTTCTGACCGAGACCCACTGTGGTGCTGGGTGAGTCACGCCCCCTCTTTGGGTCTCAGTTATGTCACCTATAAGATGGGAAAAACAACCTCTGTTTTGTCCACCTCATCCATCCCTTGTAAAGATCAAAACTAGAGTCTGCACCCAAGTAGGCTCTAAGCTGCCAGAAAGTGAATGGTAAATGTGAGTTTTTAATTAGCATTGAGATCATTTGAAGGGAAGGTGCCCTGGGTTTTTCAATCACTGGGATAAAAATTAAAAATCGGGACATCCTGCAAGCCAACCAGCAGTCCTGTCTAACTGCTGAAGACTCCAACAGACACATGTGCAGCTGCTCCAGATAGGTACGCAGAGCATGTGGCCATGCCCCTCCCTCTAGTTCCCAGGTAGGGATGCACAGGTATAACTCCAAGTGTTAGGTACGTTTTCCTCTAATAAAATTAAGCATGAAGACAGATTCACCCAAGATATAAAAATGTGATTCTGAAAGGGTCCTGCTAGAGGCATGCTCTGTGGTACAGAAGCATCTTATTGTTATGTAAACACAAAGGCCACCAACTGTCCCTGTCTGGAGGGTTTAAGCCCTCCCTGCCTACTCTCCCTCCCCCTAGGCCCTCAGCTCACCCTGCAGACTGGGAGCTGGCACAGGACATCCCTGTTTGAAGGCAGAGAGGACAAAGATCCAAAGGCAAGCTGAATTTGCGCATTGTGAGACCCCTTTTCCTTGGCATCGCCTGAGCCCCATGGCCCATTCCAGCTGCCTGGGTTCTGCCTTCCCCTGGTACCAGGCTCCAGGTTTAAGCTAAGCAGCTGCTAGAAGAGCAGGAACACTTATTCTAAGAGGGCCCTGCTTCTTTGTTCCCAGATAGTTCTGGGGTGGGGATCCCGAACCTTTGGAGAGATCTCAGGCTTGGGTGAAAGCTCCTGAGTCTGGAACAGAGTCGTCTGGTGCTGGCTGCGGAGGTGGAGGGCCGCCCTCTAGTGGCAGGCCTAGCCCTCCCAGGGAGAGGCAGAAATGCTAGTTTAGTTTGTACGGCTGGCTGGCACTGGGGACCCTGCCCTAGGCCTGCAGCCACCTGGAGGATGGTGGGGCCTGGTTTGGGTCCAAATATCTGGGCCCTGGGAAATTGCAGGGATGGCAGTTTTCAAACCCAGATCCAAGAAGTGATAACACAGATTGCCTATCAATGGCCTGGCGTCTTAATTAAAAATAAGTCCACAAGAGGAAGGCATACTATCAGTGAAGGCCGCCTAGAAGCCTTGCAGAACAGGAGTGTGTGTGTGCGCGTGCGTGCGTGTGTGTGTGTGTGTGTCAGCACCATGTGAGGCAGACAGGGAACCTGGACCAATACCCAGGGGAGAAGGTGCCACAGTACCGAGCATTGGCACTTCTGCTCCTGCCAAGAATGACCCATCAACACCAGCCCCACACCTGGCAAAACCATACAGACTCAAACCAGAAACAACCTGCCCTCTTAGCCAAAGAGCACCTCCATAAAAGTCTATCCTAAGTCCTAAAAAAGGTTGGAGAAATCGCAAATGGAAACCTCCAGAACAATTCTCACTCCCTCCATACAGCCGGCCCTGAATCACTGGCTGTGGGCCCACCAGTCACACAGCACCGTGGACATGCTAGGAGGCACACAGTGGGACTTGGTGTGTATGGCTCAGGCAAGGACATAGAGTTGGTCAGAGGGTTTTTGGATAAACGGATCCCAAATAGCCCTGGAATGCAAAACGTGAAGTGTTTCCACAGCCGTGGCAGGAACAGATGACTGGGGCCATTTATAAGCAATAAAAGGGTTATTTGGTGTATACTCTTTGAGCTACAAATTCTTCATGTACAAAATTTTAAAAAGCTGTCCTTTTTACTCATGAGGCTGGCTCAAGGATCAAATGAGATAAAAAATTTGAACTGATATTTTGGATTAAAAATGTAAAAACATTTGGATTCTATTCTTTAATAAATCTGTTTTTAATATAAAGATGTTTCCTCAAAATTTTTGCATGAAATCAACTCCAGACAGATGGATGCACCACATTTGCCCTGAGGTTTAGGGCCCCTGCCTGCCACTACCATATCCTTTGTGAAGGTCCAAGCCACTCAATATGCAGACAAGTCAGGCTGAGTTATTCCCTCTGGTTCATGCTAAAACCAGTAACGGGTCCTCCGGGGACAGTGGATAACCCACATTTGGATAATCAAGAGGTGACTACATGAGCTCCTTCCTCTCTCCCTCTTTCCTCCTCTCCCACCAGGGCTCCTGGACAGAGACCACTGCCAACCTCTTCAGTGTATGTAGATCATGTCAGAGATCGCTCCAGGCAAGCGGGTCACGATCTACATTCACAGCCACCAATAGTAGTCCATGGGGTGGTAGCGGGTGTAGGGGTGGCGGCGTGTGTGACAGCATGGATGACAGGGGACATGTCTGTGGAGCCACTGTTGCAATAGGTCTCCATACTGGCAATCTTCTCATCGAAGTACTTCTTGCTACTTCTTGCCATAATCCTTGCACACAGCCTCAGGCAGCTCGTCCCACATCTTGGCGATGGCCTTGATGCTCTGAGGGCTGTAGAGGCTGGTGGCAGCTATGAAGTTGCCGGGCTCCACCACACCAACCTTCATGCCCAGTGGGTGCAACTCGTAGCGCAGACGGTCAGAGAAAGCTTGTAGCCCAAACTTGGTGATGCAGTACGGGGAGCAGGCGGGGTTGGCCATGCGGCCCAGCATGCTGCTGATGTTGACGACATGGCCTACAGAGGGAGACAGCGAACACCTGCTCAGATGGCACTGCCTGTGATGCAGAGGGCTGGGGCCTGGCAGGAACCACTTTTGAGCCACCCAGAGGCAGGGGCCTTCTCAGTCAGAAGTCAAGGCCAGCCCAGGCCCACACGTCAACATCTGCATCCCTAAGCTTCCCCGGGTGCCCGGCTGTGCCAGGCAGGACGGGGAAGGAGGAATGCGTGGGAAGCAGGCCTGCAAACTAGGAGGGCACAACAAACTCAAAAACCAGACAGAGCCCTGACCAGGGATGATAATTTGGAGTGAAAAAGCAATGGGAGAATGTGGGCTAGAGGGCTGTGTCTGTGTGAAGCTGAGAGCTCACTACAGGCAAGGGCTGATGCTGATCTAGGAGAAATATAGCCCGAAACCCCCTCCTTACCCTCATGGAGCTTGAAACCCAGATCAAATAGTAATACGTGCAGACAGTTAAGTGACACAATAAGTCAAAGTGTCTCTGCTGATGGCAACACTAGGGATTGAGGTGGGAGTGCAGAAGGAGTACCCCAGGGCCAGCGGCTGGCAGGGAGGCCCTTGAGGCCACCTTGAAAGAGGACAGGACCTGTGCTTTAGGCTAAATTCCCCAACCGCATTCCACCCTGGCTGGAACCCAAGACAACCCAACAAACAGAGGAGCAGGCTGGGGCAGGTGTGGGATTTCTGAACCTGACTTCCAGGCTAGAACATGAGGGCTGAGTCTCGGGCACTGGAAGACAGTGGTGACCTATAAGGCCCTCTGCCACAGGCCCAGCCTGCAGACACTGGGGTTGGAAGTGGATCCCATTCAGCCCAGCCAAGTAAGCCTAGGCACACCTGGGACCAGCTCACCCCTGGTGTGCACCCAGGAAGCAACCCACAGCCCGTCCTGAGCACCGTAGGGAGGTGCCTTTCAGAAACCTCTAAGTTTGAAGTCACTGAAAGGTTGAGGTCTTCTTCTAAAATCCTACAGCTGCTCTCTGTTTATTCCTGTTGTCGCTAGGACTTGGGGATAAATCTATGAATCTTGTCCTTTTTGCCACAGGTGTTTGCTATTCTAGGGAGAAAATCAGAGTCAGAGACTTCTAAAGTAGTGTGCTTACATTTAGCTACCCAACATGGTTTGGGTGTTTTATCTGTTTTCCACACTTCTAATCCTGATTATTAGGTTTTTTTCATAATACCACAATTGTCTCATTTTTTTTAGTTATGGTAATAACCCATGGAATGGATATGCCAAATTTTACTTAGCCATACCCTATTGCTACAATGATGTGTACACACAGCTTTGTACACAGGGTGATTATTTCTGTAGATTAGGTTCCCAGAGTGGATTGCTGCTGTAATCTTTAAGCCTTTGGTGCATAGCTGGCTGCCCTACTTTCTGAAAACCACACACCCCTCTCCCCCTACCTGGCCATGGCACCTCTCCAGATCCAGCATGGCTCCTGGAATCCATGAGCTCAGCCTTGCTGGGTTGTAGATACTAGATCTGCCAGGACAGGTATTTCCATTCAGAGCAATAATGAACAGGTGGGGCAAGCCCAGGGAGCAGGAAGGAGCACCCTTTCCAACTTACCTTTGGCCCTTCGGATGAGGGGAAGAAAGGATTTCGTCACTCGCACTGTGCCCCAGAGGTTCACTTCTGTCACCTCCTTGTAGGTCTCCATGCTGGTGAACTCCACCTCCCCGAATGTTGAGATGCCCGCATTGTTAACTAGGCCCCACATACCTGGACAGGAGAGGACAGACCGCAGTCACTATGTGGGCTCGGGCTCAGACATTGCCCAGCGGCCTGCAGCCCATCCCCATCCCAGCATTTGTCCATTTTCCCTGTGACTTCCCAGTTGCTTGTCCAAGGTTCTCGGGAAACTTTCCAAGGTCACCTAAGATGGACAAGAGATAGAGAAGCCTAAAGTACTGCTTGTGACCCTGCCTGAATCAATTCTCTGGGCCCATCAGGACCCCGCACTGGGTCCCCCAGCCTTGCCTCCCAGCTCACCTCAAACACTCACCTCCACTCTCCTGCACCCTGTCTCATCCCCTCGCCCTGCACCCCACACCCTGCACCCCACACCTGTTTATTCACTCCTGCCTCAGAGCTTTCACTTATATTCTCTCTCTTGTCAGAAGCCAGGGAAACCTCAGGGTCTTCCTGGCCAAGCCCCCTCTGGAGGACCAGAGAGAAGACCCAGCTTCAAGGTCACACATCAAGTTAGAGGCTCAGCCAAGGCTCAGTCAAGCCAAGTGTGGATCCATGACCAGGGCAGATGCTGCTCCAGCTTGAGACCCTCCTAACAATTACTCCATTCTCTCATCTACCTCCTCTGAACCACCGTTTGCTGGTAATCACAGGGTAGGGCCCTGTGACACAGTAACCAGTTCACCAATTTCCCACAAGTATACATCTGGTCTTTGCAGGTAGAGACCTCTTCCCCAGCCTCGTGTGGTTCCACAGGGCTGAATACAGGGTCAGAGGAAACACATACTCTCGCAGTGTATTTGAGTTGACTGTTTCCTGCAAGACTAGCTAAGGGACAGCTGGCTTTTGTACACTTGGAGAACGCTGGTGCTGGAAGATTCCTTGGAGTTTATTTAGTCTATTAGCTAATCTTACAACTAGGGAAACTGAGGCCTGAGAGGAAAGGACAGGCTTAAGTTTACCCAGTAAGGCACAGGCAGAGCTGAACTGGGGGAGTGGTAATGAGGAGGCAGCCTTGTCTTCAGGGCCCCTTTGAGTTCAGTTCTTGGGGTGCAAGGACTGGATGGGGCAGAGCCTCCCTTTTGCTGTGAAAACCCTCAGGGCTTGATCTCCTTCCCAAGGCGCCACCTCAGGGCAGGGGTCCCCTCCTGCTGTCCCCTGCCTATGGGAACTCAGCCCTGATTCACTTTCTGAGTTAATCATGGAAATGAGTTTGTGTAAGTGACAGAATAATTGGGCTCTAGCTGCTTTCCTTCCCCGTTACCCAAATTAAAGCTTCGTCAACTGACCTCTGGTGCCTTTCCTTCAATTATGGAGAATTAAGGACATGTATTAGGGAAAGGAAATTGCTGGTTACCAATGTATCTGTGAACAGCTCACTCCAACTCCACACTGCTCTCAGGCCTCAGCTGTGCCCTCCCAGTGATGCTAATGACGCCATAAGAGGCACACAGGACAACCCCACACCTTTCACCCTCTCCTGGCAGACTCCCCAAGTCTCCACCCTCTCCTCTGCAGGAAGCCTGTCTCCACTTGCCATGCCGACACCTCATCCACCTCATCCTCCATCTTCCAAACCATAAGCCATCCATCCTTCTCTCTTTTCTATGCAACTTCAACTTTTTCCTTGCCCGTGGCTCCTTCCCTTCAATGCCGTACACATAAGGTGCTCAC